GGGGTGGGGGGGTGGGGGAGTGGACTGACTGCTAAAGGCACAAGATAACTTTTGAAGTGATAAAAATGTTCTATATCTTGATTGTGTATATACGTTTGTCAAATCTTACCAAACTGTACAACTAAAAGGGTAATTTTTACTGTGTGTAAATTATACCTCAATAAATCTAAATTAAAAAAAAGAATTCCTAGGTTCTAATCTTGACTTTACCAGGTACTAACTGTGAATTTGAGCAAGATACTTCCATGTACCTCAGTCTCCTTGTCTATAAAATGAAAATAACAATAGTTTTTCCCTCATGGAGTTATAAGAATTATGCATTGATATGTGTAAAATGTTTAGGTATAAGGTCTGGTAAATAGCTATTCTATTATTATTATTATTATTATTTTAGGAAAGAATAGAAGTATCCAGGTTAAACTGTTATTTCAACAGCAAAGGCAGACCTTAAACTTGGAACTTTTGGGGGAGGGGGGTTGGGGTGCTGGGAGAATGGGGTGAAGGATTAAAGAAGTACGAATTAGTAGTTGATAGTTGGGCAGGAGGATGGGGAGCATGGAAGAGGGAATGCAGTTATCATTAATATGATGGCTAAGTGGAGGGTCAGGGAAGGGTGGGAGTAATTGGGGGGATCGTTTTATGAACATTATAGATGTCTAAATAAATTTAATTTAAATTTATTTAAATTAAAAAAAGAAACACATGCAAAAGTAGAAAAGTATTGACCCTGAAAATATGTTTATTTTGAAAAGTTTTTTAAAAAGTACAGCCATGTTAAAAAAGAGTTACTGATATGATTCCTTTCCAACCTCCTGGAGTTTTTTGAGGCACAGACTAACCTTGAAACTCTCATATATGCATTTTCTACTGCTACTGTAACAAATTACCACAAATTCAGTGGCTTAAGCAACACAAATTTATTATTTTATAGTTATGAAGGCCAGGAAGTTCCAAATGTGTCAGCAGGACTACATTCTTTTTTGGAGGCTCTAGGGGAGAAAATGTCTCCTTGCTTTTTCCAGCTTCCAGAAGCTGTCCACATTCCTTGGTTGGTGACCTTGCATGACTCCATTCTCTGTTTCCAGGACACATCTCCTTCTCTGATTCTGACCCTTTACCTCTCTTTTATAAGGATCATTGTAACTACATTGTGCCCACTGGGATAATCTCCCCATCTCAAGAACCTTAATTTACTCACATCTGTAATCTCTTTTTATCATGTAAAGTAGGTATCAAAGATCCCAGGCATTAGGATGTGCACATCTTTGGGGGGAGACAGCATTATTCTGCCCACTACACCTCAGTTCCACAAAGTTGAGTTCTTCCAAAGGTGGTGGGAAAGACTGAAGGTGGGCAGGAATCCCAGAGGTAGCAGAGGCAGCTACTCAAATGCAATCCTTACCTCCATAGCTAAGTCATCCTTAAGCCAAATTCAGGGCTCTGTTTAGTGGAAAGACATGAGACATACCAAAAGTATTTCGCCTCCTATATTTTGGATGGAATGGGGTAAAGGTTAAAAAAGTAAAAGGCATGTCCACATATTTCCATTTAGTGAAAATATATTGATTTGGAGATGACTTAAATTCTTGAAAAGCTGTCCTGAAGATTTAAAATAAGACTTATTCCGCATAGTTGTAGAGGCAGACCCAAGAAGCAAATATGGGGAAGATATTGGCTTTTAAAAAAATAGTCGTTTGTTCAAATGGAACAAAAAACTGAAGACAATTAGCTTTATGAAAAGCTTACTACATTGTCCCCTTTCCTCTTCACTTTACAGGTAGTGAAAATATATGCTTGGCGTCTTTAAATTCCCATTAGATTATCAGAATAATGTCAAGACTGATGTAAACCTGTGATCAATTTCCATTACCCCTAGAATGCCTGAATTTAAACGGGAACTTTCTACGATAGTTCTTTCATAAATATGGAATTACTATCACGATCACCATGAACTGACGATTCTCTCTTTCATATGTTATTTACTTAACACACACACACACACACACACACACACACACACACACACACACACACACACACACACACACACACACAC